GTTTTTCTGCGGTTCGAGGCGACAACGGACCGAACTCCCCCCCCCCCTTGTGCCCCCCCCCTTTGCGAGGTCCGGATTGATGGAGGCAAAGTGCGTCAGAACATCTAGGACACGGAGATTTCGAGAAGATCCGGGCCTTCTTTGCGGCCTACCCGCCGCCCAATGATCCCAGAAACGGGCCTACAAACGACGAGCTCAAAGAAGCCGTCCCGTGCTGCAAGCTGCAGAAGATGTACAATTCAACCCAAGTAACGCTTTCCAATCGTGCGCATCTGTAAACTACGTGGATATTGAAGAATACCGTGATCAAACACCTCCCGGCCATGAAATGCACGCAGTACTTCGGCCAGGCCCCCGGGGAAACGTGGAGAGAAAGCCCCAGGACCTCTTCAAGGAACTCAACCTTGATCTGGGGACGAGGAATAGGGGAGAGGTGCGCCTGGTGCCTCAGTTGCGCTCGCCGCTCCCATTTGCCCGCTTGGACAGGCACGCTTGGTCGGTGCCGTTCCCCTAGGCCTGGGGCCAACGCCATCAAAAAGGCAACAACCTGATCATTCTGCCAGACTCCGGGCGCGCTGAGTCCATGCGCAGTTCCGCTACCGCCACCGCCGCCGCCGCCACCGCCTCCACCACCTCCTCATCCTCCTCCTCCTAAGTCGCCTTCCCCCTTCCTCAAGACCCCCCCTCCTTATCCTCGTCCTCCTCCTCCTCCTCCTTCTCCTCCTTCTCCTCCTTTTCCTCGTCCTCGTCCACCTCCTCCGCCTTTTCCTCCTCTTTTGGGAGCAACTCCCATGTTTAAACCACATCTGATGGACGCCAGCTTAAAGGGGGGACGAAAACGGGTCACATCAAAGGGATGAAATCATCTAGGACCACAGTGGAACTCTGTTTGTCTGGGTAAGAGGCCCCTCCTAAGCCTTCGATCCGCAGGTTGGCAGGCCTTGCGTAGGCCTATCACCTGCGCCCCACTGGATTAAACTTACAGCGCAACACACAGCCAGCTAACAGACGCATCCGAGCACGGAAATGCCAAGACACGATGATTGAGGCGATCAAGGACACCTCGGTCAAGCTTGGGTCGGCCAGGGCAGACGGAGTCAGGGGGGGAATCGTCCTCTCCAGCCGTCGAGCCCTTCAAACAAACTTCACATCGCACAAATCCGCTCATGACTCATGCGCTTCCACGTGTGTGAGACTGCAAGCAAAGGCTTCGGGGATACTGGGCGAGCACGGGCAGTGCCTCAAGATTCAAGACGCGGCCGCTCCAGCAACACAGCCGCCCCCAACTGAAAAACATGTAGGGCAATCTTCCATCCACGAGCGAGTTCGTGCTCAACATCTGGATCTGCCGAGGGGAGGCGGGCCAGAGCGCTCTCAGCAATCGCGTCAGCATAAAAATTGCCTTGCTGCCTGCAATAAACGCCCCCCTGATGTGATCCAGTCTTCGTCTGGATCAAGGTGTGTGTGTGTGTGTGTGTGTGTGTGTGTGTGTTCGCCTTCTTCGCCGATCTTCAATTGCCGAGCGAATGATGCACTTAGAGACTATTGCCAGCGTGCTGCTTCCTGCCAGCAATCGCTTCCACAAGCGGCAACGATGCCTGACCAACTACATTCTTACAGTCAACATACAGATCAGTCGGTGCCTCTGCAAACCAAGCGCTCCAAACACAGGCGCCAAACTCAGCGCCTCGGGCCGCTTAAGGGCACGTCGGCCTCAAGTTCCCAGACACGTCGCCCAAAAACTCACCTCGGTCCGAAACCATGCCAAGGCCCCGGGACCCCCGTGAGAGCTCTCGGACGACATGTCGGCGACACGAACCGTCTATCGATGACAACGTGTCCCCAAAGGATATGACCACGCGGCGCCTGGGAGGACGAGGGAGAAAGAAAAGGGATCATGTCCACATGCCACTTGATGTCGGTTCCACCTTCCCCCAACGGGCCGGGGGCAGCATCGCCTGAGTAACGAAGGCCGCCACATTCAAAAAGACAACGATCGAACTCTGGACTGTCCACATCACGAGCGAGATACTGGATCCAATCAGGAACTATCTCATCGCGCATCTCCAGAATGCGCGGGCAGACCCACAAACGGTGATGCAACGCGTCTCGGCTGTCACAGAAAGGGCAGACAAGTGAGGCCCCTGCGTAGCCGGCAGCGGCTGCGTCCGACGCCGCCCAATTCCCGTTGCAAGCCGGGGCTCTCATGATGCCCTTGTCCTGCTTCGACCAAAAGACCTAAGACAGCGCATGACCACGCCCCAGCAAGTCCTTTGTACCGCGCTCAACCTAAAACAGCAACCCATGGGGCCAGCAGCAAAAATCTCGGTCGTTTCCCTCCCCGAACTCTTGCCCAACGTGGGAAGGCGCCGCACCGCGGTGCAAGCAGGCGCTAAATGCGCCTTCAGCTCAGCCCCAGGACGGGCGCCTGGAACGCGGACAGCCTTGTCAGCAGAAAAAACAATACTTAAGTCGACCACGCTGGCCCTACCAAAACCAACTGCGGGGCCGAGCTGGTCCACGGGAGCTGTCGCGAACGACTTGTGGCTGCTGGCGAGACCGATTACATGCATGGTCGGCTCGCAGTCCAACGGTCCATCGACTGGGCGCACTCGCCGATGCTAGTCGCCACTTCGCGGAACAAGCCAGTCTTACTCATCGAACTCCAGCTTTGGGAAGGGGGGGGCGTCGAATGCCGTCGGTGCAAAGACGCAGATCATGCTGATCGCGAGGCTGCAACCAGCAATGGGGACCCTTCTTCGCCAAGCACGGTCCTTCAACCAGACCCCCCATCCCCAAATACCACGTCGATGCATGCGCTATCGTCGCACGCCTGGCCAGAGCAAGCGGGAGGCGCTGCCGCTTGCACTTGCAGTGGGTCCACAGAACAACTGCTACATCAACGCGCTCGTAGTATGTCTTGAAATCCCCGAACAACGAAGCGGAAAACTCACCCTTCCGAGTTCCAGCCTCCGCTCGAAAACTCTGCCTCCGAACGACGTCCGCGCTGACCCTGTTGGAGCCCGCCTCCCGCGAGAGACCCCTGAGCTCTCCGGACGTAAGTGAGCTGGAGGGAGTCAACGAGCCTTTTTCGCGGATGCCATAGCCATCCCCGTCCTCCCAGATTTTGTGTAACTTACCCCCCTCCGGTTTAGTGGGCGACCTCGGATCGGCAATTACTTGGCCCGCCGAGGAGAGGGTTGAGGTGGGGGCCCACCCCTCGGGGCCACTCAAGGCAGCGCGGGCCCCGCGGCCACCTTTGCCCAACCCCTCGCGAAGCCAATCCTCCTGGGCCGACCTGGAGGCGCCGGCAGCGGCAGAGCGGGCCTGAGACTGCAGGCTCCGAGCTTCATTGATAAAGCTCCGATGGTCGGTGAAGAAACGACAGCGGCCACCCCGACCGAGCTGCAAGCCGCGCGGCGCTAAGCCGGCGGCAACTCGAAAGACGTGACGCAAGGGATGTGCCCAGGAGCGATAGCGGATGGAGGGTCCAGGAGGTTCTTGAGGATCTGAACCCTGTGGCAGGCGCAGGCGCCCCAGTCCTTCGAGTAGTGCGTCAACGCGCGCAGCTGCGCGTGCAGTCAGTAGCCGGGGTGGCGCGCCAACGTCGGCAGCGGAAGCGAGCAGTGATGGTTTATCAAACCGATCGCAAGATGAGAACACAGAGGGTGCCCTAAGCCAAGATGATTACGGGCACACATACACACTGAAATCAACATAGTTTAAGCTCATACAAGTGAATTCCTCAGCCGGCCCAACTTTATTGAGCTTAAAACGAGGGCCTGGCATAGAAACACGAGCTGACCAGTGCGGCCTCGCGAGAGGCATACAAGCGAAACATGCAGAGAGTCAGTGCACAGAAACACGGGCTGACCAGCGCGGCCTCTCGAGAGGCATTCAAGTGAAACGTGCAAAGATTCAGTCCTCCTTCCTCCCTTCGGTCGATCGCGGCACCGACGACGACGGCGACGAGAGCTGACGAGACGACGCTGCTCGGGACCTGGCCTTGGATGACGGGTCCTGACGGCGGTGGGAGAGGAAGTCCTTCTCTGCCGTAAGCCGTATCATGCCGGTTTTGAGGAGCTGGAGCTGTGCGGCGTTCCCCTTGCTCACATCTGCTTTTGTCGTGACATCCGCGGGCATGAAGGGGTGGGGCATCCACCGAATGGTTCCCCCGAGACGCGATAAACTCCCCCGGCGCACCGATAAATCAATCGCCACCCGTCGGTCGTTTTTGAAGCCCCCGGTGTCCCGGTCCAGAGTGTCGAAAATACCCTTGGCATCGACGATGGCCAGGTTGTTGCTGGGTTGGGCGTTAAGGGTGCAATCTTTTCTCAGCAGGGATGCAAAGGGGCCTACTTTGTCTTGCCAACACTCGTCTATAACCGTGCCGAAAACCGCGTCCTGAAACAGTAGCTGCATCCATTCTGCCTCCGCAAGGGCAGCGCTCAGAGACTGCAACTCTCCGGCCAAAGTGGACGGCACCTGTCTCCGAATCCTGCACGAACGCCACGACAGTGGCGATGCCCTGGATCTCTCCCCGGACGCT